TTTTGAAATTCTATTTCAGTCATTATTGAAATTTATATAAAAAAATCTATTTTGTTTAATTTATTAAAAAATATCAGTATTTTACATACAAAATTCATCGATCATCTAATTTTTGATTTATATGTTATATATGCTTATAATTTTACATGTGATCAACATTGGTATTATATTTGAATTTTGGAAAATTTTAATAAGTATTATTAATTAACTTTAAGAATTATGAGAAATCAGATACTTATAATCACTATTGTATTAATAATAATATTTTTAATATTTTTAGGTATTTTTTATTTATTTTAAATAGTTTTTATTTTATTAATAAAATATATTAAAAATAATAAAATTAACTAATAAATCTAAATTTTTTAATACTTACTTTTTTTCTATTACTTAATTATTAACAGTTTTTCAGTTAATATAATTATACATATATAAAGCTAAAAAAAGATTTATTTTTTTTAATTCCAATTAATTGAGAAAAAAAATTGTTTTAAAAAAAATAATATAAATTTACGGTTTTATTTTGCTATAAATTATATTAAGAAATTAAGAAAAATAAATAAATAAATATAAAATTCAGCTTTATTTTACTGAAAATTACATTTATTTACATAAAAAGAGCTTGCATAGAAGAAATAATCTGATCTTAAAACTATATAAAGATTATTCCTATACTTTGGACTCTATTCAAATAAATTATGAATTAAAAGTCTTTAAATAGAATTTTTAAAAAAATTGATTTTACTATTTTAGTATAACGCTCTTACTAATATTGTAACAGCCTAAAATTTTAAAAAAAATAATTAGTAACCTCTAACATTCTTATTGAAAATTTTAAAAAAAAATTATTTAACAGATGAGTTTTACTTTTAAAGATTAATAAATTAGTTTATCTTAAATTAATCAATTTATTAATTGATTTATTTTTTTTAAAATTTTTTTATCTCCTAATCATTTTATCCTTCTATTATTTTTCCCTTTCCCTTCTTTCTTCTCCTTTAGATCTTTTTTTATTTTCTTTTTATTTTTTATTTTTATTTTTATTTTATTTTATTTTAAATTTTCTTTATCTCTCCTTCTGATCGTTTTATTCTTTTAATTTTTTCTATTATTTTCCTTTCTTCTCTCTCAATCTTTTTTTATTTTTTTTTCGTTTTAATTTTTTTCTATTATTTTTTCCTTTCTTTTTATTTTTTTTCTTTTTTATTTCTTTTATTTTATTTCTTTTTTGTTTTTTTTTTTATTTTTTTATTTAAATATTTTCATCTTATTTTTATTTTATTTTTTATTTTATTTTTATAAGTTAATTTAAATTTAACATTTGAATTTGATTCAACTTAAATAAATTTAAGTTAAAATCAAGTCAAATTAAAATTGAGTTGAGTCAAATTGAGTTAAGTTTAAAATTTATATAACTTGAATCAAGTTAAATTAAAAGATAAACTTGACTCAATTCAATTTGAAAAAAGAAAGTCAAATAGAGTTAATCTTTAAACTTGACTTGACTTGACTCATTTAAAACTCTAATAAAGGTTATACTTTAATTGAAGATTTATTTAGTAAAAATATTTATGATGAAGAGTGTATTCCTAAAAAAGTTACAATAAAAGATTTTGAATATTCAGTTAAAGATTTGGATAACGATATAATAGATGATAATATTAAATTTTTTTTTAATTTTTTTATTTATTTAATTATAAAAATTTAATAATTATTCAAAATTTTAATGCAATAATATATTTTTAAATTCAAATTAAATTTTTATTATATTTAATTTTAATTATAAAAAATTAATAAATATTTAAAATTTAATATAATATCAGTTCCTACTCCATTGGCTTCTGCTTTATCATTATCAATTTTTGCATCTACATCATTGATTTCTATGTCTTTATTTATTCCTATTTCTTTACTATTAAATTCTGCATTTTTATCATTAATATTCACATTTTTACTTGCATCTACTCTTTTATTATCAGCCTTTGCTTTATCATTATTAATATTTGCACCTTCATCATTGATTTCTATGTCTTTATCTACTCCTATTTCTTTACCATCAGTTCTTACACCTTTACTATCAATAATAAAAAATATAGGCAAAATAGAAGAAAGAGAAAATGATTGTATTAGTATTGATAGCATTAAAACAATAAACTCAGTATAAATTCAAGATGATACTTACAATTTAGATGAAAATGAGCATACCATAGAAATTTTACAATGTCATCCAATTCCTATTGATCTGATTCTTATTAATATCACAAATACAGCTATAATAAATGAAGTTCCAACTACAGGTTATGATATTTTAGAAAATCAGCTCATTAGGACCTTCAAATTTACATAGATAAGATGGTTAACCAGATGAATAAGAAAAAATGGCCAAATATATATGAAGTGGAAGATAAAAATAGATAATTCTGGTATTGACAGACCTACTCTTCCATGCAAAATTATAGAAATTGCTAAAAATGATCAATATGTTTTAGGATCAAATTTGGGATTATTAATGTATATTACCCACCAGGAGAAATTAAATCACTTGGCGTAATACACTTTCCTGAGCTTAACAATTTGCCTTCTAACAAAATTTCTGTCAGAGAAGCCGCACGCCTACAAAGCACTGGACTTGTCACAGGTGCTATTTGCAATTGTAAATGTAACTGTAATAGCAATAAATGTTGTTGTAAAAAGGTTAGAGAAAATTGTGGAAGCAGGTGTCATGGTGGTCGTCCATGACAAAACAAGTGTGAAAATTAGATTTTTTCATAGTTTTTTATGTTAGGAGCATTAATAAAAAAAATTAAAATTTTTTACAGCGTGTTACATACAAAGTGTTACAATTACGGAGTGTTACATACAGAGTGTTATATAAAAGTTATTTTGTTTTATATTATTAATTACAATTATTAAAATACAACTAAATTTCTTTAGAGAAAGATCGATCCGATCTTAATTTGAACAAGTAAATATATCAAGAACATATAATATATTTGCTTTACGATTATTGTAAGTAAATATGATGATGATCCCTATCATAGAATATTATGTGCAAATGCCTTATTTAGCTGCTCGCATAACAATTCGATTAAATCTGAGACTTTAGAAGATTGCGTCACTTAAAAACTAAAGGATATTGATCTAGAATTAGTAAAAAAAAGTTGTATGTTGTGAAAAAAAAGAGCGTGAAGATTCCAAGAAATCTATTAAAAGTATTGTTTTCTAATCTAAATAAATTTTTTTAATATTACCATTATTTTAGGATCATATTAATATTATGTAAAGTGGGCGAACGAAAATTCTCCAATGTACAGTCCCCGGCGAAAAGAATGGCGGTGGAAGACCGCATCTATTTTTGGCTGCGGTTTCACCACTTTCCAGATTTA